CGTTCGGGCCCATTCCCGCCGCCATTTTCCGGCGACCGTCGCCGCCGCGTAGGGGGGGGGGACGATCCCGAAGGAGGAGACTGCGCAGGGGCGCACCGGTCTCCGCCGCAAGGCGGGGGGGAGACCGTCCGCTGGCACCTAAGAATCTTCGATGCCTCCTCCTCGGTGGCCACCCCGCCCCGAGTTTAGGCCTTCTGCCGGGCCTTCGCAATAAGGCCCTCAGCGCACCCCAGATCCCCGCGCTTCTACTTACGCGGAAGAATCCCGCGTCCATCTTGCTGCCTCGCTCGGAGATCGCTCCCTATCCCAAGGTGCACCGCGCCGCCGCGACGGAGGGCGGGACGGGCAGGGGAAGCTGAGCGCCTGGACGCTGCGCGCGCTGCACCACTCGCTCCTCCGGCGGACACGAGGCCGCGCTTGCTCAGTGCGGCGAGCGCCCTTCTAACGTGCGCAAGCGCACTCGAGGGGCGGGCTGCAGCCGAGCTCCGAGGCTCCCCAGCATCCAGTCGGGGATGAGAGCCTCGCGACCGCAACCAATAGGAGCAGGGGAGAGAGAGTTGTCGGATCGCCCCGCCCCACGAAACCTTTTGTGGCGCGTGACCAGCCTCGTTCGCACAGTGCGACTTGACCCGTCCTTCGACCCGTAGTGTCGGAGGCCTCCCGCCCAGGGGGTTCCGGGGAGGGATTGAAGAGAAAGGCTGTTACCTCAGAGTGACGCTAGGAAGAGGCAGCCCGTACGTCGAAGGGGAGCCTGCAGCTTCCCCTGTCACTATAAAAGGTGTCGTTGTAGTGGTTTTACGAGTTCACCAATTGTTAAGATCGGATGGAAAAAGAGGTCGGGCTCTGTAGTACAATGAAGTCTGCCTTCCGACCCAGTTTCTCGGGCTTCCTCGTGTCTCCCCACAACTCACTGGTTTTTGGAAAAAGCTGGAAATGTCCATTAGAGGAGTTTCGGTTTCGGCTGCCGGGGAACCACGCTACCGGGCAGGAAGTTGATGGGAGCCGTGGCCCCCGGGCAGCGCTCGGACGGAGAAGCCGACGGGCATCCAGGGCGCCCCCGGCTTGCCCGGCGCGGCCTCCTCACCTCCCCGCTCTGGCCGTGAGGGCCTTCAGCATTGGGTGCAGTTTGCCAGAATCCCGCTAAGTGCTTTCTTTTTTCTTTTTTCCTGGGGGAAAGCACGTGTCCCTTCTCGGGCGATCTCTTCTAAAGGATCACACCTCCCCCTGCGACACACTAGCAGTCGACTCCCTTTCCTGCTTTTTCCGCCCTGCACTTGACACACCTGAAACGATCTGTTCGTTCACTCTGGCTGTAAAGACCAACCATGTGCTGACGACTTCCATTCATCTCCAGCTCTGACTTCTCTCCCGAACTTCAGATCCGTAGGGGCAACTTCCTGCTTCACATTTCCACTTGGAAAGAGGTCACTAATGCAACATGACCGGGAACCCAACTCCTGATTCCTCCAGTTCTCCCCCTTGCTCCCCCCAAAGTCCCCTCTGCCTCAGACGATGGCAGTCTCTTTCCTTTAGGGCACGGCCTTGGTGTTCTTGACTCTTTCTCTTACCTCCCACTTCCAAACCATGAAGAGACCCACCCACTGATGCTCTTCAGGGCACCATCATCTTTTGCCTGAACTTCTGCACTGGCCTTTTGACTGTTCTTGCCACTCAGCATCTATTCTTTTTTTTTTTTAAATACATGTTTTTATTTTTTTAGAGAAAGAAAGGGAGAGAGAAACATCAGATAAGAAACATCCATCTGCCCCCTGGGCATGTGCCCTGACCTCTTGGTGCATGGAACCACAGCCGCCTGGGCAGCGTCTGTTCTTAATGCAGCAGCCAGAGTGACCCTATTAGAAAACCTTGGACACGTCCACTCTTAAGCTCAAAACCTTCTGACAGCTCCTCATTTTCTCAGAGCAAAAGTCAAAATACTACCTGATACACCCCTCCCCCATTTTTTCTTGGGTTTCGTCTCCCAGTACCCGAACACTGTTCACTGCTTGAACTTCCTAAGCTTGCTTCTCTTTCAAACCCTTTGTGCTGGTCATAACTTCTGCCTAGAATGCCCTGCCCCCAGTTACCTGCTTGGCAAATTTAAAGTTTTTACTCAGATGTCACCTACTCAATGAGACCTATCCTGGCTGCCCCATTGGAAATTGCTCACATACCCTTCGCTCTAACCCTGATGCCTCCTAATCTACTCTATTTTTATGTTTGTTTTCTTTTTCGTTTACCTATTTTAATGCATGCTTACTGTCTGTTCCCCATGCTAGAGCGTAAGCTCCCTAAAGTCAGGGCCTTTTTCTTTTTTGTTCTCTGATGTGTCCCTAGCACCTAGAAGAGTGTTTGGCACATAGTATAGGCCCAATAAAATTTGCTGACTAAATGAAATCTTTGTCATTGGGTGAAAGATGGGGAAGTGACTGGTTTCCACAGAACAAGCCACTTGACCAGATGGATTTAAGAAATCACCATGCCCCACAGCTCTGTGTTCTCTGGGTTCTGATCAATCATTCTGTTATATCCTTGCTTCACTGTCTCCGTTCTTTTGCTGCCAATGCTGTAAATGCTGGTTTTCCTTGTGGTTCTATAATTGACCCTTTTCTGTTTTCCCTTGACAAAAGGGACCTGCCTGTTCTCTCTTGGTTTCAATTACTATTTCATCTCCCAAGCCTATATATCTCAAGTATAGGTCTGCCCCAGACCTATGTTTTTAACTTCCTGCTGACATATACTTGAATGCCTTCCTACTGGCACCTCAAACTCAACATGTCCCAAAACAAATTCAACTTCCCCCACTTGCCTCGACCCTGTGTTTCTCAACGAATGAGCCCACCTTTCTTCCTGTAATTATTATTCTCTTCCTCGAAATCTACAACCACCAAATCTTGCCTTTTTGTCTCTCTTAATAACTTGTAACATATCGACTTCCTTCTAGCCCCATTGCCTGGAATAAACCACTGATTCTATCCAGAAGAGCCCACATTATTGTCTGAATCATTGCAACAACCAATCAACCATTTTGCCTACTTTCTGGGTTGATGTCTCCACTCTATATCCAGAGTGATTATCTAAGAAGATAATCTTGGTCCTTTCACTCCCTAGTTTAAAATCCTTCAGTGCTTCCAATTGTTATCCAGAGGAGGCCCAAACTAGTTGCTTTAACTAGTTGTATAACCTACCCCTTTTTGATTTGTTTACTGCTCCCTTCTCCAGACTCACCACATGGGCCAGTCCTTTCCCTCTCCCCATTTCTCACGTCTGAGCTGTAGCCACATTGACTACAGAACTACTAGTCTAATTATGAACAGTTTAGGTTTTGAAAGTCAGTTATTTCCCTGTATATTGATAAGCCTAAAGTGACTAAGAGGTGACTCAAATGTCACCTCCTCAGACAAGCCTTTTCTGACCAGCTTTCCAAAAATAGCAGATACCCTTTTCCCATCACTTTATCCTCCCTTGCTTTATTTTCCTTCACAGTGCTTAATAGTGCCTGATACTGTTATCTATCCTGTTTATATGCTTACTATCTTTGAATCTATTTTTAAAAAAATCTCGCCCAGCCGGGTGTGGCTCAGCGGTTGAGCATTGACTTAGGATCCAGGAGATCAGGGTTCGATTCCTGGTCAGGGCACATGCCCGGGTTGCAGGCTTGATCAATGACTCTCTCATCATTGATGTTTCTCTCTCTCTCTCCCTCTCCTTTCCTCTCTCTGAAGTCAATAAAGATATATTTGAAAAAAAAAAATCTCTATGAGGGCAAGAATCTTGTCCATCCTGTTCACCATTAAAGCCTTGGGGTCTAGAACAGTATCTAGCACATTCTTAATAAGCTCAATATTTGTTGAATGAATGTATGAGTAAGAGTTTAAGGCTCAGTCACCAAAGGCAGCCCTACCAGAGAGTGTTCTTTGACATGTTAAACCATTGATTCTATCCAGAAGAGCCCACACTGAAAAATATGCTGAGGCAGCTACTTTTTTCCCCCACAAGCTCAAGTCTTTCCCCTGCCCCTCTTAAGGAGATGCAAGCCCAAGGAGGACCTGCAGCAAACAGTGCAAGCACCTCATCTGGGTCTTTATGTCTTTAATGTAGTTAGAAAGTGAATCAGAAGATTCACTGCTTTTTAAGAGGTGATTTCTAATGTTTCTTGTTCCCAAGTTGAGTAAAAGCCTACTAGTTCTGTTTTTTTCTTGCCCTGATTGCTTGGTGGATTGGTTTCACTCATTCATTTATTCACATTCACTGCTTATGTGATCATCTAAATAAATCTAAAATGTAAGTCAGACCATGTCACTGGGAAGTCAGAGAAAAGGGGCCCTTGGAGACAGGTTCAGGGAATTAGCCCAGGACAAGCTGCTGCTGCCCATTGCTCCCCTGGTTGCAAGTCTCATGGGATCCCTTAGAGGTGAGGGGACACATGCCTGTCAGGGAAGGAGAGTGGGAATGGAATGGAATGGCATGGGTGTGCTCCCTGGAGGGAGAGCACTTTGGGACCTTCATTTTCAGGGATTTTAAAGGCTGGGCATTTAGGGGAGGTCTTAGGGGCAGATCAATAGACTATTCATCAGCTTTGTGCTGACTTACCAAATGAAGTTTATTCTCCTTGGGTGTGGTTGGCTAATGGCACTAACTGGATTTCTGTTATCTGTCTCCCTGAGTTGGGTGATTTAAGCTATTTACCCTCTGGTTGGGGAGGAGAAGTGCAAACCATTTACTCTTAAGTGTCCTTCGTTTAGGGAAGATGGGATTTACTAGGTGGCTGCAAACTGCTGTTCAACTATCTGTCTCAGTTTCCCTTTTCCACTTGTCCTGGAATTTTCCTAGCTTCTTAATATTCTGTAACTTCCATCCCTAAAATCTTTTATGGTCTCTCTTCAGTAACTGCTTGCTGCTGATAATGGTTGTACTCTAATCCTAGGTTAGGGTATGGAAGTTTCTCTCCCTGCCTGATCTAAGGGAGACAAGAGAATGGGATTTGAGACTGGACTAGAAAGGTCGTTGGTTGATTCTTCTAAAGCAGGATGGGCTGGAATTCCCGAAGTGTCATCAGTGTGATGTGGAGTCTCACTTTAGGAGGTGGTGAGTAGTCTATAACACACTGACTTTTCACTGTATAAAAACCCAAGGCCTTACAGTGGCCCACTTCTGGCTCTATGTGATCTGTTCATCAACCCCAGACATCTCTGACCTCATCTCCAACTTCTCTCCCTGTCATTCACTCTGCTCCAGCCACTCTGGCCTTGATGTCAGGAACTCTCTTAATGCCTGCAACTCTTTTACCTCAGATAGCCACATGGCTCACTCCCTCACTTCCTTCAGTCC